ACACCACCCATGCCTGGCTAATTTTTGTATTTGTTAGTAGAGACAGGGTTTACCATGTTTGGCCAGATAGTCCTGAATCCTGACCTCAGGGTGACTGTCCGGCCTTGCTCCCAAAGTGAGAATGTAGCCTTACAGGCGTTAGCCACCACGCTCAGCCATGAGTTAGAATTTCTGGATGGTCGGTTGTATATGTATGATGCTAGATGGGTGTGTTTATGAGATTTTGGTATAAGTGTACACGTCATTCATAAAATAGAAATTTGAAATGTCCCTCCTTTTTTTTTTTTTCTGCTGGCCTTAAGGCAGAATCAACAGGCAACCCAAACAGCAACCAACTCCTCTGGTTCCTTAATTTTTCCAGCAAGAATTATCCCTATGAATAATTTGGGCCTGGTGCTTCTGTGGAATGTAGCGATGGAGCAATACTCAGTTCCTAACCAACATCTATTTCTTTTTTTCTTTTTTTTTTTTTTCTTGTTTTTTGAGACCGAGTTTCGCTCTTGTTGCCCAGGCTGAGATGCAATGGCACAATCTCGGCTCACGCAACCTCGTCTCCCGGGTTCAACCGATTCTCCTGACTCAGCTCCCGAGTAGCTAGGATTACAGGCATGTGCACAAACGCTCGGCTAATTTGTGTATTTTAGTAGAGGCAGGGTTTCTCCATGTTGGTCAGGCTGTTTCGTACACGCCTGACCTCGGGTTGATCGTGCGCTCCGCGCCAAAAGGCGGGGAGGAAAGGAGGACAACCCGTGCCTGTAATCTCAGCTACCCAGGAGGCTGAAGCAGGAGAATCGCTGGAACCCGGGAGGTGGAGGCTGCAGTGAGCCAAGATCACACCACTGCACTCCAGCCTGGGAGACAGAGCAAGACTCCATATCTAAAAAATAAAAATAAAAAAAATTCATACTCATGAATATTACTGGAAAAATCCTAAATCAAATAAAAATTATAATAAAGTATTTCTATTTTACTAGAAATAGCTGGGTACAGTGGCTTGTGTCTGTAGTCCCAGCTACTTGCGAGGCTGAAATGGGAGGATCCCTTGAGCCCAGGAGTTTGAGGCCAGCCTGGGCAATGTAGTGAGACCTCCTGTCTCTAAATATCATTATAAAGTAAAAGAAAAATTTGTCATTTCCAAAATGCAAAAAAGGTGTTTGATAAAATTCAACATACATTCTTGATTTTTAAAAAAAACTTTTAAAATTCAGCAAATGATGTTGACACAACTAGGTAGCCGTCTAGAAAAAGTAAAGTTGGATCCCAACTCAAACTCATACCTCGCATCAAAATAAATTCCAGATAAAGAGTAAATGGAAAAAACGAAGTATAAGTGTACTTCATTAAATCCTGATACATTCTGTAGCACAGGAAATTTTATAAAGCAATACCCAAAACCTTTTTCTCCCCTATAGTTTCAATTATATATCTTTTAAAAAAAGTTAGTGATGTCCTAGAGTTTTCCTCTATCCTTCATACTTCTTACTCCGACAGAGATGGAGTCTTCCTCTGTTGCCCAGGCTGGAGTGCAGTGGCGCGATCTCGGCTCACTACAACCTCCGCCTCCCGGGTTCACGCCATTCTCCTGCCTCAGCCTCCTGAGTAGCTGGGACTATAGGTGCCCGCCACCATGCCCAGCTAATTTTTTGTATTTTTAGTAGAGACAGGGTTTCGTCGTGTTAGCCAGGATGGTCTCAATCTCCTGACCTCATGATCCACCCGCCTCAGCCTCCCAAAGTGCTGGGATAACAGGTGTGAGCCACCACGCCCAGCCCCTTCATACTTCTTAGGTGGGACCCCTTGTAACAAAAGAAGATTAACCATAGAAAAACAAACAGAAATTTATTAACATAACGTGTGTTAAATAAAATTTATAGGAGGTGAGTGATTTAAATTGAGCTTCTTCGCTATGCCCAATAGACCAAACCAAAATGAAATCACACTCAAGTTCCATGCTACCAAGCTGAAACTAAGTTGTTTATCTGACTTTTTGAGAAATCAAGAGAGAAAAAGGGGGTAGGGGAGAGGCAGGAGGGAGGGAGGGGAAGGGGGGGAGAGAGAGAGGGAGGGGGTTGGTTGGGGAGAGAGAGAGAGAAATAGCCAAATTCCCAAACAGGCCAGTTTTAGCTACCATGATAAAAAAAAGTCTCTTCTGCTTTAACCTTTAACTTTGAAATGATCAATCCATTTTTTTGTTCTCTGTTTCTGCTTTCCTTAGAAACAGAGGAAAACCAACATTTCTTCCTATAAAACCAGCTCCTTCTGCTCAGCTCATCAGAACATCCATTCTATTTTATAGATTGAAATATTGCCTGATTCTGGAATTGCAAATAAAAGCTAATTAAGATCTTTAAACTAAATTTGTTGTAATTTTGTCTTATGACATATGTATCCTAGTCTATATGTGGGAGATATCCAGGGAAAAATGAGTAACTCTCAAAGAGAGTTACTTGGTTTGGTGCTGTCCTTGCAATAGTGATTGAGTTCTCATGAAATCTGGTTGTTTAAAAGTGTGTGGCACCTCCCTCCTTGCTTAGAATTCAAGCTTAAATACTATCTTCAGCTGAAATAAAAAAAGAATGGTGTCGGGGAGGCCAGTTATAGAGAGGTGATCAGGAAAAGTATGGCAAACAAGAGTAAGGTCTGTTATGCAGATTTAAGTTGATACCTTTTCCATCAATGAGAAGTTTTGTTTTTTAATGATTTAATTATCCTTGTCTTCCTGGTTCAGAGAAGGAAGACACCCTTACAAATGGAGATTGTTCTTTGTAAGTGTGAATTGCCCTTCCAAGAGGTGATATAGTTTGGATCTTTGTCCCCTCCAGTCTCATATTGAGATGTAATCGCCAGTATTAGAGGTGTGGCCTGGTGGGAGGTGTTTGGGTCAATCATAGGAGCAGATCTCTCATGAATGGCCTGGTGCTGTCCTTGCAAAAGTGAGTGAATTCTCGTGAGGTCTGGTTTTTTAAAAGTGTGTGGCACCGACCGGGTGTGGTGACTCACACCTGTAATCCCAGCACTTTGGGAGGTCGAGGCAGATGGATCACCTGAGGTCAGGAGTTCAAGACCAGCCTAACTAACATGGAGAAACCCTGTCTCTTCTAAAAATACAAAATTTGCCAAGTGTGATGGTGCATGCCTGAAATCCCAGCTACTCGGGAGGCCGAGGCAGAAGAATCGCTTGAACCCAGTAGGCGGAGGTTGCAGTGAGCCGAGATTGTGCCATTGCACTCCAGCCTGGGCAACAAGAGCGAAACTCTGTCTCTTAAACAAAACAAAACAAAACAAAAAAATGTGTGGCACCTCCTTCCTCTTTTTCTTACTCTCTCTCTAGGTGACACTGCCTGCTCTCCCTTTGCCTTCTACCATTATTCTAAGCTTCTGAAGCCCTTAGCAGAAGCAGATGCCAGCACTATGCTTCCTGTAAAGTCTGCAGAACTCTGAGCTGATTAAACCTCTTTTCTTTATGAATTACTCAGTCCCAGGTATTCCTTTATAGCAACACAAGAATGGCATAACACAAGAAGGTAAATTTTACTCTTGTTTTCAGAGCTTGTCTTGTGTCTGTTGTTTCTCAAAATGATCAGCTCAAAGTAATCCTTATGCCAATGAGGCACATTTTGGGGTGACATATTCTGGTTTCCTACAATATGCCAACAGAGGAGAGAAAGTGGAATCATATAAAATGCTGAATTAAAACCAGAGAAGGCAGAAAAAGAATGAAAGACCAAAAAAAAAAAAAAAAAAAAAGAATATAAGCAACAAATTAAAAAGTTACAGA